TCAGATTCGATAGATTCGACTGGGCATAATTTAAAAGAGTAATATTAGTCGATTAATCGGCTAAAATGGGTGTGGCAAAAGCTCTGGAAACTAGACCATTTTAGGCTAAAAGTAAAAAAATAATAATAATTTAAAAAAAAAATTAATAAAGACTATTTAACTTTGATCTAGTTTGAGTAAAGTAAATACCTAAACCTTCAGAAAAATAATGACACAAAGAACCAAATACAAAATAGAAGCTATGGAGAAAATGAGTAGTTTTGACTTGGAATTGCTTGTTATTTAAATTAAAACGATCTATACATGCCATAAATTACTTTTTCAATTGGTTGCGATGAATCTTTTTACAGCTATGTATGTGTTATACTTAATATTCACTTGTCTTATTTTATGTTGTATGCTCTTCATTCCTACTGTTTTGTGACTTGATCTGTAACACTGAAATGTCTCCAGTGTGGAACAAATTTGAACGGATCTCTTAATCTTATCAATTAGATCTCTGTAGCTCACTATATACAGTATCTAAACCCTCTCTGATCTGTGTTGGCAAATTCAACAGTTTTGTAAAGTCCTTTGATTTAGGGCGATACAAAATAAAACGAATTTAATTTATTTAATCCCACTATAATAATAATACATGTTTTTGTTTCCTTGTATTGAGCTGAAACATGGACCTGACGCTGCCTCCTCATGAAGGCTCCAAGCTGTCAGTGGTGGACATGCACACGGGAGGAGAGCCGCTGCGCATCATCGTGGGCGGGTACCCCTCAGTCCCGGGGCCCACGCTGCTGTCCAAGAGGCGCCACGTCCGGGAGCAGCTGGACCACCTGCGCAGGGTCCTGATGTTCGAGCCGCGCGGACACTACGACATGTACGGCGCCCTCCTGGTGGACAGCGAGCTCCCCGAGGCGGACATCGGGGTTCTCTTCATGCACAACGAGGGCTACAGCACCATGTGTGGGCACGCCGTGATCGCCCTGGGGCGCTTTGCCGTGGACTATAAACTGGTGAAGGAGCCGCGGTCCCCAGAGACTCAAGTCAACATCCACTGCCCCTGCGGACTGGTCAAGGCCTTTGTGGAGGTCAGCGACGGGCAGACTGGGGCGGTGCGCTTCCACAGTGTGCCCGCCTTCGCGTTTGCTACAGGTGAAGAGAGGGCGGTATTATATTATTTTCTTTTTTCAGCGCCTTCGTGCTACAGGAAGGTTTTTATATAGCGACCATACAGCTTCCCTCACATTTTTCCCCACATTTTTCTTGTATTTATTTCTATTTTCCTTTTAGTAATACTCTTTTGCTTTCAGGGCTCCACCTTTTGTCTGCTTCACATCACATTTCTGAAAGAATAGGCTCCTAAAGGGCTATTTTTAAATATGTTATTTTGATAATTGCTATTTAAAGCTTTGTTTTTATCCTTTCATCTGAAACATGGACCTGATGCTCCCTCCACATGACGTCTCCAAGCTGTCGGGTGGAAATGAGACAAAGAGAATTACACAAATGGAATATCTTTTTTTACAGCTTTGCAACTCCACCAACATAACTACAAAAAGTGTATTTCCATCATATCAGGCATTTGATGTTCCACCCCAGAAAGTTTACACCATTGTGTGTGTTTGTGTGAGTGTAAAACCACTTTTACTGACAGAGCTTTGTGCAGTCTCCTCAATTAACAGAAATGTGGAACAAGCCTCCGCACCTGCCCGGAGCTGACCTGTACTAGCTTAAAGGAGGAGAACACCGCGCTGACATAGTAAACACACCTGCATGTGTTCCTCAGACGTTGTGGTGAAGGTGGAGGGACATGGAGATGTGCAAGTGGACATCAGTTATGGAGGAGCTTTCTACGCTTTTGTGGACGCTCAAAAGTTCGGCCTGGACGTGAACAAGTCCAGGACTCGAGATCTGGTCGATGCTGCCACAGCGGTGACCAAAGCTGTCAAAGCTCAGGTAAAAAACATAACGTGATAAGAATATTAAGCTTAAGAGAATAGGATTAAACTCATATTGTTCTTCTGTATTTTTTTTTATTTTTTTAGGTGAAGCTAAACCATCCAGTCAGTGAGGATTTAGCTTTTTTGTACGGGACAATTCTTACAGACGGCAAAGATGAATATTCCTCTGAGCCCACGTCCAATGTCTGTGTGTTTGCAGAAGCACAGGTCCTTGCCTAATGCGTGCATTATATAATATACCATACTTTCTGGACTATAAGGCGCACCTATATATATATATGAAAGGATAATCATTTTTTCTCCTTATATTGGCCGCACTTGAATATAAACTGTAGGTTTTCATGTTTCATTCTGCTGGTCTCTCACAACATGATTTAATTATGTGTTTAAACCGTTAGCTTCAATTCACCAGTCTATGTTGACCATAAACAAGTGTCCTATAGCAGTGGTTCCCAAAGTGGGGGTCCCGACCCCCCGGGGGGTCGCAAGATGATTTCCACACAAAAAAAAAAGATTTTTTTTGCTCAAAAAAAAAAAAAAGATATTTATTTAGCATTTGATTTGTTTCAAAAGGACTACTTGTTAAATTGTGTGGAGACTATAATATATTTTAATAACGTTAGTAATTTTGTCCCAGTCATTGCAGCGTCAATCAAAGTCATGGTGGGGGTCGCGGGTTAGCAGGGCATTTATGATGGGGGTCGCGGGCTAAAAACTTTGGGAACCCCTGTCCTATAGAACTAACATTGAGTCAAAATATGTCTATAAACAAATTGCTATACAAGCCACGTCGCTATATAAGCCGCATCGCCATATAAGCCGCATCGCATATAAGCCACATTACCGTATAAGGCACATCGCCATATAAGAAGCGTTGCTATATAAGCCGCATTACCATCTAAGCCGCATCACCGTATAAGCCGCATCGCTTTAGAAGTCACATTGTTATATAGTCCGCATCGCCCTATAAGCCGCGTCGCTATACAAGCCCCATCGATATATACACCGCATCCCTATATAAGCTGCGCGTTGAAAGAACTATAACAACAAAGTGGCTTATTGTCCAGAAATTACGGTACATATAATATAAAAGTAGACAAAACAATATGAGGAAGACGCTGGCTGTTTGCAGGTGGACAGGAGCCCCACTGGTTCCGGAGTGACGGCTCGAGTGGCGCTTCAGTTTCACAAAGGTCTGATCAAACTGAACCAGACCAGGACCTTCCAGAGCGGAGCTACAGGGTCCCAGTTCACGGGGCGAGCTGTGGAGGTGCGTCCCAATCAGCTGAAAATGTTTTAGTGAGAGGTCAAGACAGTTTCAACCGCTGAATGTGACAGTTTATCTTTATGGCGGCAAATCGCTCACCTTTAGTCTCAGATTAGTCCTGCGGGTCTTTGGAGCCTGCACAAACGCCACACTTCTGTACTAATTATCTCTTTACTTTACCTGCTGCTATTGTTCGCTAAAGTACAACATTAACTAGCTGTAAATGTCAAACTTCCTTGACCTTTTAAATTGAGACTCAAAACTCATTTATTCAGACTGGCTTTTAGCAGTGACACTTTAATGATATTTAACTTTTATTGTTCGATTCATTGTAAAGCACTTTGTTCACCTTCAGTGTTGAGGGCCCTATAGATAAAGTTTGATTGATTGGTAACTACAGCGTATACTCTACAAGTTTGTCCAAAGCTCCAGAATCTGTTTATTATCTATCATCTTAATAGATCTTGGTTGTGCACATAACTCAATTTCTCCTGTATTTTCTTCTGTATTGTGCGCAACGATGTTTAAATTGAGGGACGAATAAAGGTCATCTTCTCTGCAGGAGACTGTGTGTGGAGACTTTAAGGCCGTTGTGGTGGAAGTTTCAGGCAGAGCTTTTTACACCGGTGTTTCCCATTTCGTTCAAGAGGCCAATGATGACCTCACTCAGGGATTTCTCCTGAAGTGAAGGAACAAAACATGGACTGGATTAATATGGCAAATTGGTTTTTTCCTGCATTTACTTTGTGTGGTTGTGGCAGTGACTACTTTCCACCAGTAGATGGAGCTAGAATGTCATAACTGTAAATGTGCAGGTTTTCCATATTAAAGTCATTCATTACATAAACTTGTTTTTGTTTAACTCTTTGACCTGCGATACGCTCAGGAGTCCAGAGACAAACACAAAGCATGTGAGCAAGTCACATTATCCCAATTTATTCATCAGTTATACAATGGAAAGCAATATTTAAATTACAAAAGTCCAATGGAAACGTGTGTTTGTGGATGGATTTACACAATTAGAATGACTCAAAACTCGTGACGAAAACATCACAATAAAAAAAAAAAAGCTGTCTTTTTTTTTTGCTTTTAAATTGTTTAAATCCTTCCATTGCCACAGGGGCTTAGAGCACTCCCACAACAAGGGAAAGGGGAAATGCCTTTTCTGGAATTGATACTTCATGTGCGAATGTGTACTCTGCGTTATACTGTATTTATATATATGTATATATATATGTCAGGATGATGTAAGTATCCACTAGTAGTTTATATCATTGTAAGTTAGGCCCGAGCCTTTAAAGTACCAACTATTAAAACAAATAGCGTTAAGGCCAGCTCTTAACAGACAAAAGGTCATGTGATATAAAAATGCTGCACAATAATAAAACACAAAGATCTTTTCCATCACATCTTCTCTGTTGAACGACCCAGCGTTTTCAGTCCTGGGATAGTTTGAGTCCATCAGGTCCATCTTTCTCCCCAAACTCCCATTGGGACAGTCTTTGTGCGAAAAAATAAAAAGGTGACAATAAGAATGGCCCCATATTATTAAACTTCTTGACGCTTGAAGAAAAAGCTTTCCATTTGACGGTGCATAGATTCTGACGTACAAAAAGAGCACAGACGAAACACTATGTTAAACAGCATCTTTGAGGTCACTGCGAGGAAAAGGACATGGAGAACATTCACATGAGCAGATTCCCAATAAATATCCAGCAGGAATAGTCTCATTTTGTCCGGTTTCTAATTTGGCTTTTTGTTTTTCTGTTACAAACGTGCAGAGATCCAGGCTGATGTGTGATGAAGACATTTGAGAATAGTCATTTGAGCCCACGTAAAAGCAAATAAAAGCTGCTTCTTGTAGTTTAGAAGTTGAGTTTGGTGATGGGCCGTTCTCTGGAGTCCGTGTTTTGGCTGTTTATGCGTTTTCGGTTTCGTTTCATTTTGGACAAGTCTTTGTCGAACACTTCTCCCGATCTCAGAGCCGACACCAGGTCGTCAAACTCTCCTCCGTCGTCTTCGCCGTTGGCTTTTGCTTTCCGCGCCTTTCGCTCCTTGTCCCGCTGTTCTTTAAGCTGCACACACATAGAAGTGGATTAGCACTCAGCATATGTTCTCTTAAAGCAGGGGGACCTAACTTTTAAACAGCAAACAAATCAACTATGTAATAAAATCTATAGTTATTCTGCTCTCAAAACAGTTTGGGTTTCATTCTTTTTAACCTTTGTCACATTTAGATTAGCTTTTCAGACTGAAAAGTGAACAAGAGAGGACCACCCTCACTCAGCCAATCAGCTCTCAGCCCATGGGGTCAAAAAGAAAGAGTCACTAACGATACATTTTAAGTTGCCTGATTTGTTCACATATGTTTGTATGACTCTTTCTGTTGGGACAAAACATTTATTATTTATGAAAAAAATAGACAAACCAGCTTTAAAGTTCTATCTTCCTTATATTTCAGAAATCTAGACTTTAGGACGAGAACCCTTTTACACAATAAGCCATTATCATTTCAAGTATGTCTTGTATGAAAGGGTTAACCAAGTAACAAGAACATCTATGACCTATACCAAGACTATTTACAACATTTCGCTTGGGACTAACACATTACTATTCTCCGCAGCCTGAGAAAACATGTTCATTTTGATGTTGTGTGAGAGCGCGCACCTGAGCCTCCATCTTGGCCCTGCGCTCCTCCTCCTCTTTGCGTTTCCTCATGTTCTCGTTCTCCTGTTGAGCTTCGCTGAACGATTGCACGAATTGGTCAAAGATGCCAAAGAACTCATCCGGCTGCATCTTCACGGCTTCCTCTCCAAAGTGCTTTACGGCCCGGACGAACTGGGGGGACAGAGAGAAGAGAGGACCACGGGAGTTACATTTACAATCCAAACAGAGTCTCACTGTGTCACACTTATCATCTGCAGTTTAATGCTTTGTATGATCCTGCTCTGCAAAAATCATATATTTTGAGATAATCATTTCTTGAATTGAGTGTTTTTATCCTTATTTGAGTACATAAACAAGATTTGTCAATGGGAAATTTGTCTTAATTCAAGGGAGACATTTCTTGATCTTTTCAAAACAAGATCATTTTGCTTGTCCCATTAGAAAATCTAGTTTTAAGGCAGATGTGCTAAAATTAAGAAACATTTAGCCAAATTTGAGCCATTTTGGACTTATTTTATACCTTAGAAATGTATGCTGATTTTTATTATGCCTTACTCTATTCTCTACCTCTCTTTTCTGACTGATGCACCGAGCCAAAGTAATTTCCTTGTCTGTGACTTGTATGGCAATAACAATGATTCTGATTCTGATTTTTCATTACTTATATTTTAATAATGTCTTTGTAAATCCAGTGCCTTCTGTCCCTGAATTTGGCTTTGGCTATAGCAATTGGCTTTCTGGTTGCTAGATTGTTGCTATCCCTGATCCCTGAATAGACCGGAGGAAATAAGGGGACCACAGAGAGGACAGAACTGCGGGAGTTACATTTACAGTCCAAATATGGCTTTTTTTCGAGCTCTAACTTTTTTACTAGAGTCTCTTTAGGTTCCAGCTCTTTGAAATCAGACCAGGGGCGCCGTGTTGTTGGGGCTTTGAAGCTGAAGTGAACCCAGGATTTGACCGGCTACTGATTACAGCGGGGTCCGGAGACTGGAGCCAGAGCCCAAATGGAGGCAGCCTGTTTGTGGCGCATGTTCACAGCATGTTACAGGGCATCCAGATGTGAGAACAGAGGCCACTCATCTTTAAAGCGGTGTGCCCTATAATAACAGGAGTAATTTATACTGTACACGGAGAAACTCCACTCAATAAAAGCCCACAGCAATTCAGTGCTAAACGTTTCAATATTAGGAGCAAAGTTGCCTAATCTGTTCATTGTGTCGCTCGCAAATATGAAATGCAAGTGACAGGTTACTTTGATTGACGGAAAAAAAAAACTGTAAATGGTTCTGATAGCTCAACAGAAGGCAAGCGGTAGAAACGAGTTGAATGATAAAGAAAACATTGTCAAGATACAAAATTCTGTCTAATTGGTATATATACTGTACAAATAGGGTTAGAGGCTCAGAGCCCCAGTTTACATAAACATAAGATTTGAGGCCCCAGTATACATAAAGAATAGGTTTATACTTGCATAAAAAAAATGCAGGTTTGAGAGCTGAATTTCTTCACTCTTTTTAATGCACTGTGATTATTCATGATTTTAATGCTTGTGTGAATTATGTTACTTTTTTATTTGATAAGCACTTTGAATGCAGGGCCTGGTTAGTACTGTGATGGGAGACCTCTGGCAACACCAGGTGCCACAGTGGGGCTGCTGCGGCTGCCAAACTGTGGTTGTGTCCTTAGGCAAGACACTTCAACCACATGCCTAGAATGAGTCGCGTGTGAAAGGTTGGTGGTGGTCGGAAGGGCCAATGGTTACATACTGGTTGCCTCGCTTCAGTGTGCCCCAGAGATACTGTGGCTACACTAGTAGTTTATCACCACCATTATTATTATTATAAAAATCCAGATATGGCTCCAAATAACTGACCAATCAGGTGCCTTCTATCCCCAAATTTGGCTTCGGCTAGCGAACTTAGCAGTCTGACTCTTTGGTTGCTAGGTCATTGCTATCCCTGAATTGACCTCCAGATTCCCACCCATGGAGCCTGCTGAGTTTTTCCCCCCAGGTTGCTAGGTAACTACCCATACCTATATCCTTTGTCATATTTTTATCAAACCAGGTCATTTTTCAAACTGAAATTTGACATGTCCGTTTTAGAAGTATTTTTGTCTGTAACAGAAAAAAACGTATCAAATGTTATGGTTTAGTGAAATTGATACATTTAAGCTTTTAATATGTATCAACAGAATGTAACAACCAGAACAACACTACCACAACCTTAGATGGTGGTAGTGTTGTATCATTTGTTGTCCAAGCTGTACTCATATAGAGTTGTGGCTGAAAAAAAACACTTGTCACAACTATTGCCCACAATGCATAGACAACTTCAAACTTAATATAAAACTTTATAAAGTCACAAGGAGTTCACAAAACAAAAATGTAATTTAAAAGAGTAGAAGCACACAGCTACTCCGAGGTTCAACAGGTTTTCTGGCCCATCTGCAAACACGCTCAAATATTTAACTAAAAGGACACAGTCAATGATTCACAGAAACTAATGGTGACCATGTGACCGACGGGGTCAATGTAGCTAGACTCGCTGTAGGGGGAAAAAGTCCTTGGCACCAATAAACGTGGAAGGATAAGCATAAACCGAAGGCGTGAAGTTCTCCCAGGAAATGTGCGATCAGGTTTCAAGTAAAGTTTTAAAACGGCCTCATCTGGGTTTAATAGAGCAAAACGAATCGGACTGAAACACCGTTGGGCTTTCGTCTGTTCTGTGGACTAACATTAGAATTATGGGCGATGCTTTTGCCCTGATGACGTCTCTTTAAATGACTCAACAGGTGCGATCAAAAGCTTTTACAACTGAGACTGCATGGACACACAACTCGTAAGATGATATCACACGGGTCAACCCTCGGTCTTTGTAGTTTTACTTTCTTCTTGCGCACATGGCTGACCAATTAAACACAATATCCCCAGCACGAGATGCCCGAGATCAAATCATATCGAGCGGAGCAGAGCAGACCTGGGCAAAGTGTGGCCCAGGTGCCACGTGCGGCCCCATTTGCTTTTCTATGTGGTCCTCAGGCATTTCCCATCCGCAAACTTCTTACTGTCTCCCGCTAAACAAAAAGATCAGATAACTTTACACAAAAACAACGATAACATTGGATATCTCCACATTTCCCTCTCCTTCTCTTTCTGTTTATTATTACACAAATTTTGTCAATTTTTTTTACTAAATTTGCTTACACTTAAATATGTTTTTGTATATTACATTAAATGATAACCACGTGGAAAGGCTTTTTACACACACATATATTTTTTTATCTTTATTTAACCAGGAAAGTCGCACTGAGATGAGTCCCGGCCCCAGAGAGAGGGGAGGCTATTGTACATGTTTTTCGCGGTAGGAGAAACCAGAGCACCTGGAGGAAACCTACCCAGACACATAGATCACTTTGAGGACTCACCAGCTCCTTGGCCTCGGCGAGCGAGTCTTCCACGTCGGAGAAGCTGAAACTGGCCACCGTGATGAACTGGCTCACCACAGACACAAACTTGTCGCCCAGCTCTTGTGGTCGCTTCTTCTGGTATTCTAGCTCCTAATTTAGAAACGGTGAAGTAATGAGTCAAATGAAGCTGTAAATATGTTTTTATGAAGCCAGAAACGACTCATTAAAACCCATAAACTGTTTTTACTCACGCTTTCTACGCTCTTCAGGCCACTCCGCAAGTTCCCGATGTCCTTCTCCAACTCAGTCATGCTGCACATAGAATAGAGCTGGGTAAGTTAAAAGAGTCATAAAAGGACACAAAGTGTAAAATAATTGAAGTAGCACACGTGTGTAGAGGGGCTCTTGATGTCAGACTCAGGAGAAGTTAACAAACAAACAGCCAAGCTAATATTAGACATTTGGACGTTTAGTTTCATGTACTTCCTTGTTTATATCATTTTCTGCGACAAATACGGCCCCTGCACTGTGTAAAGCTGGGGTACCTAACTTTCTGTTACATAAATATACTTTCTGTCCCAACAAACAGAAAAGGACATGACCTATTGAAAGAAGCCAATGGGATGCTCCTGCTTTCCACCAGTGCACCTGTCTGAGTCGGGTTTTCTAAAACACCCAAAATGGCAGAACCGAAAAGCCCTGTTGTGGTAAAGAAGAGAGAAATCAGAAGGGAAAAGACCCTGTTCCATCCGGGATTCGAACCCAGGAAGCAAGAGTGCCAACCACTGAGCCATCATGCCACCCATATTTCCCAATGGTGTAAGACAGCTATTTTTAACATCCATTACAACGTTAAGTGATAGAACTAATGCCGTTAATGCAAGATTCTAAAGGCTTCAAATCCATCTGACCAGCCTGTGTGTAGACTTGGACAAGAGTGGTCTGACTTGCAAATGAGACAAAGGCAAAGGCAAATTGAGTTTATTGTATTATTATCCCATGTAAAGGGGGTATTTTCGTCCATTATTTTCAGCACTTACTGCATTGTGAGGAGTAGTATAGTGGTAGCATATAGTGAGTAAGTCTTTTAGTGCGATCTCTTTGAGGCTACTTCAATCATTAAACATATTGTCACATACTTGACTTTGGCTGCCTCTGGAATGCTTTTGAGGTCCTCTTGGAACATCAGCACTTTGGGATACTTCTTCTCCAGGATGGTTATCAAATAGTGAAGGAGTGTGATGTTCCTGCACAGAAGGAGAGCACATTTCACACCCGTCTAAAAAAACCGTCCACAGCCAAATATATTGAGATATAAATATAACACGTAGTACGCCTTTTCATTTCCAGATGTGACTTTTAGCACGTTGCCTTTACTGCCTGCAAATGTTTGAGAGAGCGAGGACGAGAGCTCTTACTTGTCGATGCTGGATTTGGTGTCTGCGATCTTATTGAGGGAGGACACTTTGAAGCCGTACGCGTTCCCTCTTTGGCCTTTGTTCATGTAGTTTCCAAACGCCAGCACCACCTCCAGCAGCTGCTTCAGATTCCTACTGTGCAAGATCTCCTTTGATGCTCTGGTCAGGGCTGAAAGGCAGGAGACATTTTAACTGCTACAGGTGTCCGGTCAGCAATGGCAAAAATAAAGGCTTAAGTGATGCAGTAGTTAGGGATGTGCAATTTCAGATTTTTGTGGTTGTAATTAGAAAATTGACAAAGACTGTACTTTGCCACAAAAAGGGACTGAAGAAAAGCAAAAAATCACTTGAATTTGGGGAAATGTCTCTTGATTTGTGTATATTTTAAAGATTTGTCGGAATCTTTTGTCTTTCGTTCCTCTTTTTTCATAATTTATATAAATGGTTGACAACTCGGGTCTGAAAAGATAAAAACTTATATAAAAGTGTTTATATACACATTTAAAAGTTTTGTACTATAGGTTAGAACTTTATAAAGAAGACATCATTTCCAATGTTTTTCTCAGGATTAAAGTTCTACACATTAAAAGAAAAGATCCTAAAAAATATAACACCTCTAATTAGTCTTCTCTGAAAAACCCTCCACAAAAACACATGTAATGAGAATAATACATATTACATTTTGCATTTATTATACATTTATATGGACTTTTTACTTTGAATTGGTGATTTATTAGTGCTTATCGGTCTGGATCCTGCATGGATGCTGAGCCACAGATTCAAATGCACTAAATTCAACATAAGAATTCTTCAGATATGTTTTTTTCCCTAAAATTCAATACCCACCACCTGTATATGATGTAAACGTGTCATATGAACACAAAATAAGACTTTTTCAACATACTGGATACCAAAAAATCTGTCAGAAATATTGCAATCATATATATTTATCTCTCTAGTATTAGTATCAGTTGTAATGACGTTCTCATCCTCTCACCTTCCACTTTGGGTTTGATTTCCGCTATCCTCTCTGCAAACTTCTTCTTAAAGTATAATGATTGAAGTCTCTGCTGGTAATGGCTTATCCTGGAAAAACAAGACAAAAAAAGTCAAAACCACAATTCTAAACAAACAAGGAAATGACAAGAGAAGTCTTAAGTCGCTATAAAAGATCTGTGGGGGTGACCAGGCTTATTTTATGTTTGCTACATTTTAAAACTATTGACCACAGACTTTACGACAGACGAGAGCCACAGAGGGTTGTGTACATCCGCTCTCGGGTGAAAAACTAGATCTCACTGAACTTGTATAACGGGGGATTTAATTACACTGTGTCTCTTGTGATCTCTGCTCAGGACTTTGTTTGGTTTGACATCGATGCTCTGAAAACTCCCCTTTGTTTCCTTCTTCTGCCTCGGAGCGCTGCGAGACCACAACAACGCGGTACACGCCTTTTACATGAGCGCTTCTGATCAAAACAGGGATTCTGGAGGTACGTTCAAGATACGCTATGTCTGCAATTTATACATTAAGGCTTTATTTAATCAGGTTTTTTTTTGACAGATCTGACAAACCATGGCCTCGTATTGTCACCCATGTTTTCATTGAGATTGTACACAAATTGAATGCCGTACTGTCCGTGAAAAGCAAACAAACAGAAGCTACAAAGTGCAAGTTTTTGGATATACAGTGGTCCCTCGATTATCACTCCAGTTGCAATCTAAAAATATCCTGCATTAAGCAAAATCCCCAAAATATGTTCTTAAGGCTGTAAAACCCCTCACAACTGGACTCACAACTGCTGAAATGTAATGGCGGAGGTATCAAACCTGTTTGTTGTAGGTCTGAGCGCTGCTGCAGCTGTCAAAAGCTGTGCATACACTTTGTTTTGGTCCTCTTCCATTTTTCACCTCTTCCCAGCTACCCCAGTTTTTTCTGCTCTTTAATTGTTGCCAAAATACAAAATCTAGCGTACCTTAATAATTGTAACCATGCGTAGATATATATTTGAAGCTGTCTAACCCTAATTGAGATCCGCATACATTGATTTCCAACTGATAAATAGCACATCCCTAACTTTAATTACATCAGAATGTGCAATATAGAATCACATGTATCCACTGTTGCTCTACTTAGTCACTTTGTCCCAGACCCTCATGCTGCTAACATGTACAGATGTATACTTACAACTATATATTACTTGCAGTAGAATACACAGTACTTTATACTGGCTTATTATGCCAAACGTAGAGATTTGATACTTCTTGTTTTGCTAGAGTTGCCTGTGTGCTACTCATTCCTACTGTTCTGGTGATGCAACACTGAAATGTCTCCACTGTGGGACAAATAAAGAATCTCCTAATGCACATGGGGAGTGAATACCTGCTCATCTCATAAAGAAAGCGGTCGGCTTTGGCCATTCGGTCCAGGTCGTGTTTGTGCTCCTCCAGCAGATCCACATCACTCTTCTCTGGGACAAACTTGAGCAGCTGAAAAAGCAGGAGACACTCTTTACCTCGACGCGCTTGTGTTTACATTAAAGTCAGTGGATGGGTTTATGGGGTGGGCTTGAGTCTGCTCCAGAGGTTTTCCATTTACACGCGCTGAACGTCTGCCAGCGCACACTATACTGTCTCCTTAGCTCTAAATCACGCTACATACCTGCTCCAGCATATCTTTAGGGAGGTCCTCCTGCTCGTCCATGGTCAGGATTGCTCTCTTGATCTCTTCGTTTGAAAGCTTCAGTCTGCAACACAGAAAATAGGGCTGTAATTAACTAATATTTTGATAAGAGTAGATGGCTCGGCGATACCCCACTGAGCTGATGACTTCTAAATAATGTAACTAATTCAACGTCTGGTTTTGCGTTCTCTAGTGGACTATAATTGGAATGACTACAAACGTGTACTTATAGGAAATAGATTATGTGAGTAAATCATGAAATTGTAAATGATTTAGGGTATGTAAGGTTAGTGTTAGGTTGTAGGTCTTTGTTGTATTTATTGTTGTTTTGATGGTGTCATGATGTAATTAGTGTGAATATATACGGACATGTCATACCCCCATATAAAGCCCAGAACTGCCTGAATCCAGTAAAAGCAGTTTTTCATGTTGTCGGGCCGTGAACAAAAGTGGCTCTCTTACTAAAAGGTTGTGACCAGAGTATATAGATTTATACTTTCTCTTTAAGATTTTTAGATTTCTGATAGAGTCAAACACATTGTCTTAAATGTAACTATTAAACTTCTAATTATGTGTAGGGTTAAAATTTGAGATGTTTTGGTTGTTTTCCCAAAAATGTAAAACCTGCCTTGGTTTCCCATAACCATTAGTGCTGCAAATAATAATAAGAATTGAACATCATTTTAGGACACATGATGGTCTTGCGGGCCGGATTTTATTCTTCCAGTATAGAGTTTTGCAGTACATAATCTTTTGTGTTGAGTTCTGTAACCTGTGATGCAATACTGAAATTTCCCCACTGTGAGACGAATAAAGGATATCTTAAAAAGCAGAGAAGTGTTGAAAAACTTGCCTCGAAAGCAGAATGTTGCAGTTTTGGGCTCTACGGCCATCGATAACAGACAGCTCTTTGACTTTTTTAGCACCGAGTGTGTCATCCTCAGCCTCTTTCTGTAAGAACAGAGAACAATGTTAGTCCCTTTAATATAAACAAATGCAAATGTCAAGTAAACATTGATATTTGTGATACACTGTACGCATTACAAAAACACACAATCACTCAACAGCAAAATAGACCATAACCGTACGCACACTCACCTGTTTGATGTTATTGATCGTAAAGAAGTCCTAAAACGCAGGCAAGAAGCAGGAAGATGTAAGCACTCGTTAGAATAAAGCAGACACGTGACGGCAGCCCATAAAACAAACAGCAAATCAATTAAATTATCGAGTGAGTCCAATAAAACATCAATAACGTGCTTTATGGACATGCATTCTAACTAATCGAGCATAACTAGTCCATCAAAAGACTGTGTTGTAACTTTAGCTGAGTGAAAAGTCATGCTCATTCAACGTGATCTTCTCGTTTTGCAATCACTCTGAAAACAGCCACAAGTTGATTTTGAACAGCTTTGTCATGCATTTCAAAATCATGCAGCTTGCAAATCAAAACCAGTCTGGCAAACTCGCTTAAAACAAATCTAATTATGAAGAGTGATGAAGAGTAAGAGGGTGACTATTGTTCTGGTTGTGCAACTTAAGTGACTAACTGAGTTAGGTCAAAAACAATCCACAGCAGCAGTTTCCATACCTGTTGTCTCTGATAGGCTGAGAAGGTCTTTTCAATATCTTCCAAATCGAGTATTTTAAAGACCCTTGCGTCGTCCACTTCCATCCAGACCGTCCCCTCCAGTTTATTCTAACAGAGGACACATTATGAGGATCACAGGAACGACCGCATGACAACATTGAGTGCGTTTACGAAGCATAAGAATACAGAGTATGTTCAAAAACCGCACTCAATTCCATGGCATTATCAAACAGGTCTGAGTAGTTTTGGTCCTGTCTCTGTGCGCACTGCAGAGAAGCAGCTTGAGGCTCCAGACCTGAGGACGCTTTCATTGGCGTCTCGTAACTTTCACTTATTACTCAAACTTTGCGAATGTAATTGTGATAAAATGTCTATAATACATACTGTATATTATAAGTACATGCTCAGCAAACAAAAATGTCCCCATGTTTACTTAAAACACAATATTTTCACACTTGCCCAGCACCTGAAGCATAAATCATTGAATTTTCATGGCGCACTTAAAACGACATGATTCCTGTTAAACAAAACAAAACAACAGAACATGTGCAGTCAGTGAGAGACTGTGTATTGATCCCAAACACAACGGAAAAGTACCTTATACCCGCCCAAACACATACGTTTCTAATACAAGTTTGGTTCTCAAATGTATCACATCTTATTCCAATCCGATTGGTGCCAGCTCAACCGCCTGATATGTTGGCGGTGTGAACGCAGATTTAGAATTGGCGAACACCAACACCTCATATTGGACTGCTCCTCAATCGGCGCACATAAGTTTGCATGAGACTTTATCAATCACATTCAATTGGAGTAATGTAAGTGGAGGTGTGATTAAAAACAAAAAGTGCTTGAACAATTTTGTTAATTTTGAGGTGTGTATTTTGGGCTTATGAGCGAACAAGGATATACATGCATTTGTCCAGCAAAGATAAATGAGAAATGAGTTTATAGTAGTTATGGGCAGATGAAAGCCCGTAACACATTTCAAATGTGTCAATGCCTCTGAGCTCAGACTAGCTTGTAACACTGACATTTAGTGGATACAGTAAATGTAATCATTGCAGCCTCTGAATTGAGTGCACAGCAAGCACTGCACGACAATCTAATGATAATAACACAAGCTCCAGAGCATCGTTGTCGTTTGCCCATCAGTAGTTCACAGTCAAACCAAGACAATCTTGCTTTTTTGTAAAACACATAGCAATCCATAGTAAAATCTGGAATATTCATGTTACTGAAGGATGCCCCTCACCTCCGCCAGCTTGGACCAGTTGAAGGATTTGAGCGCGTTGGTCGGCTGGGGAATGTTCTTCTTCTGGAGGGATGGTCCCAGCGGGGCTCCAGGCGGTGGGGGGATGCCTCCTCCGATGGGTGGGCGTCCGGGGGGAGGAGGAGGTCCACCAGGAGGAGGTGGTGGGGGAGGGGGAGGAGGCATGCCCCCTGGTGGAGGAGGAGGGGGAGGCGGTGGGCACATGCCTCCAAACGGTGGAAGTGGTGGAGGGGGCACAGGTCCTCCGGGTGGTCCTGGGGTGAGGGGGGGTCCTCCAGGTACCATGGTGGCCTGTCTCTACAGACATTCAAGCAGTGATCGGCATTAGTTGTCAGGTGACAATAATAATAATATTATTATTAATCACTTTTGTCATACTGTAATACATTAGTTTTATATAACAATTTTGAACAAAAAACAACACAAAAACGTTTAGCTAAACAGTCTGGGTGACAGTCTTTCATTTTTTTAAAGGGTTTTCAATAAATCCGCATCAAGAGTTTGAGAACTGAGGAAAACCAGCTACATGTTCTATATCAACAAGTGATTGTCCTCAAATCAAAAAACGTAAAAATGTATTCAATGAAATCAGTCAATTAAAGGGGACATAACACGTTTCAACTCTCTACATTTGATCATCTCTGATTATTATTAGAATCATTATTAAATATTTAGTTTAATATTGAGGTAAAATTGTATAATGTTATATTCAGTTCTGAGCAAAAGCTTTTTGGATGTCACTTAAACACGACATCTTTGAAACATGGTCACATCAAAGCCTCCGCAGACCCATATGAGATTCAAGAATATTGTATGCCTTCAAGCAAAAATTACAGCTCAAGCTGAGTTAATCCTTCACATATCACAGATTCAGAAGAGAAAATTGGCTAAAAAAAACTAAGTAAAACCCAGAAGAGGAGCTAGATGCCAGCAGCAGAGGAGTGAGAGGAGAGCAATGGTGGCGCGCGTATACTATAGACATAGATAACTCAAACACGCATGTGACTTGCTAAAAACAGCTTTGAGTGTGTATACTGTATAATAAGGGATTACAACTACACCATGGCTAAAAACTGAGAAAAGGTAAGTTTGCACGCCTCTTTAACAGTAACGTTTTAGACACATTGATTAACAAAGCCGACATTGTAGATCAAAATCCTTAAAAGGAAAATGAAAGGGCTCTGTACTTCCGGAACCGCGAGGTGGGCGATCATTTCTGGGCTCTATAAAAGTGGGTTTGGATTTGACAGAATAATAAATGGTTGGTCTCATCAAGCTTTGGGGAGGTAAATGTTAAGATGTGGAAAAATGTTGTTTACGGGGGTAACGTCGACCACAAAATAATACACATTTAGTTAGATCATAATTATTAACCGATATGTCTGTGCGCTGTAATTTTCCCAGGCCGTAATGGCTTCCACATTAGTGCATTGTGACTTACGAGGCTGAGCTCGTGCAGACGCGCAGTCAGCTCCGACACTTGCTGCTTGACGTTTTTGTGCTCCGTGCTTTCCTTCTCCAGCTTCTCTTTCATCTTGTTGAGCGTCTGCATCATCTCCTCCTTCTCCTGGGTCTTGGCGTCACATTCACGCTCTTTCTTCTCGAACTTCTGCTGCAGCTCGTGGTGCTCTGTTGTACAGGGATGCATATTATTAAGTCCAGTTGTTCATGAGCCAGTCATTATGGTCAGGATGCAGTTCAATACATGGTAGAAGAAACAGTATATTTGGGGGCAGAATTTGTATGGAATTTTGGGGGCTTTTTTTGTCTTTTTAAATGTAAGTTTTATTGCTATCCTTTATGCATCTTTACTTTATGCTTTTTTCCCCACATAACTTGTTTGCACCATATACCAAAGCAAATTCCTCATTTGTGACCTTCCCGTTACTCACAATGGTAATAATTCTGATTCTGTCTGCTAGTGCCCAGAGTCAGGACTAAACATGGGGAGCTGCATTTCAGATTCATGCTGCTAAAATCATAAAACAATCTTCATGAAAGTGTGAGACAGGCCTCCTCTCTGACAATGTTTAAAACACGGTTGAAAACAATTTTGTTTATCTGTGCATAAAACTGAGGGATTTAATATTTGTATCTTTCTTTTTAATGTGCTGTGATTATTTATGATTTAAATGTCATCTTATTTTATTCAGCACTTTGAGTTGCCTTGTGTATAAAATTGTGCTATACAAATAAACTTGCCTTGTTTATTCCATGGGTTCAGCGCTTACAGTTGTGCTGAAAGTTTACACATTGTTTTGGGCATATTCCCACCTTTATTCACTTAATGTCAAAACAAATTGGCGATGCAACATTTCGAGGACCTCTTATTGAAAAGGTTTTATCTTTTTTATACCAAGTTGCAAATTGTCCATGTCATCATTATTTAGGAATTTACTGCTTTGTCAAGGACTTTCATTTCACCGTTATTTTCAAACACACCTTTCCTCATCTTCTCAGCCTGCTCTTTCCACTGTTTCACTTCGTTTTCGTTCACCAGCCTGCCAAACAGATGAGACATAATTAACAACATTGCATCAGGAAATGACTTAAAGGGGGAGCTATTTTTAGCCCGATGCTGGTCTACATCTCTCAATGCAACGCTTTGTAATCGCTTCCACGTGTGATGGACAGCTCTGGAGATATGACTCACATCCGGACCACGTTCTTCACGTTGAAATTCTCGAGGGGTGTGACGTCGGGGTCGTGGCCCTTGTCGTTCTGCAGGACCATCTGCTGCACAATCCGGTCCAGAAGAAGCCAGTACTGCACCGTGTTCCCGCTCCTCTTGTCTGTGGACACAAGCAGGCATCAGTGACCCGGCTGTTTATGAGGCCATGAAGGCATCTCCCTCCATTTTACACTTGGCCATATGTCTGCAGCGCTTCTGAGGGAGAGACTTTTGTAAAACGGCTTAAAAATGATCTATGAAAAAAAGCACCAACTATCTATCAAACTCACTTCACAGTTTGGAAAGAGGATAACTTTAACCATTTCTGTATATTCCCGAAGCAGGTCCAATGCGGCCAAATCACGTAGGAAAGTCCTCTAACCAATAAAGGACTTTTAATCAGGTTGGAGTACCTCAGATCTACTTGTTCCCAGGCAAACCATTCTTATAAGATTCAAGATTAATGTCTTATGTCCTGGAGGAAAGTCATCTTGGACTAGTAAGATTAATGACAAGCAACTTCTTACAAAATGCTACTGTTTGTTCTATTGGCAACTCTTGTCTGTCACCAGTAGCTTGCCAGCCCCTTTCAGGTAGCTTGCCAAAGGAATTAGAATTTAAGAAATTATCTTGAATTAATACATTTGAGCCAATACATATCTATTGTAGATTTTTTTTTACGACTGGTAAAAGTAGCTCTCTGCCTCTTTGTTTGTATAAAAGTAGCTCTCTGATTGAAAAAGGTTGGAGACCCCTGCATTAGATCATATTGTCCTTTTTTACAGCACTAGAACTTCTTGAACCCAACTTATATCCAAATAATGAAATCCTCCAGAACATGTGGCCAGACATGATTGAAAACCAAATCTGTGTATTAAAACAATCAGTCTGAACATAACTTCTTCCTTGAGTGGAAAGAGACAATGATTATGGCCAAAGTGAAGCGTGTATACACAACACACAATGTCATATTTATAAAGTTAAATATGTCTGAGTGTCAACCACCCAATGTCAACAACACGGCCGATGTCTAACAAGCATTCACTGCATATTTCCTTTTGTGAAATTATACTATCCAAACAATGTGAGCCAATTAAGCGGAGTGGGGCAGTGCACAGCAGGCACCATTAGCCGGTCTTTAGTTTAGCTTGGAATGCACTTATCCAGACCAGGACCGGACTAATCAGAATGAGTCAACACGCTTTATCTTTTTTGGCCCGAGTCTTGAACTCTGCAGCAAGTCCATTTGTTTAGTTTAGAGGTAATAAAGTACTTTCAGTTAATTCTGTTGAAATGTTTAGCTTTTTTTTCATTTTATCTATGATTTGCGGGGCAGATTTTTTACAGCTTTTGAGCGTCACTTACGAGGCATCAGGAGGCAGTGGTGCAGGACAGACATAAAGTGCGGATATGCGTCTGTGTGATTCATCTTCTTTCGAATCAGGTCGAAAACTTGCGTGGCGCTTTTTGTGTCTATATGAACCTAAAGGAAAGAAGGGAAAGTGAAAGAGCATGTGTGAATCAGTGTCGAAGTAAGCAGGAAAAGGCTTTGGTTTCTTACCGACTCAAATCGTTTGGATATCGCCAACTCGTCGTCATTCCGCAGCATCTCAAAATAATCTAAATGTCTACGAACAAGAAACAAAGATAAAAGTTCCTTTATATGTCCCACAGTGGGGAAATTTCAATGTTGCAGCGCACATACAGGACAGTAGTAAGAGCACACAAGGAGCACACAAAGTATACAAAATAAGTAGCTAATACTGTATGTTTCTTGGCTAGCTGTAAATGCTTCAATATCAATATATCAATCTATCTATATATATGTAGTGCAAAGATATATACATATAGGGCATGATAAAGTGATTCTGAAATTGCAGTATTGCACATGAATGGAGTTTCTATGTATTTATAGATGAAAAGTTCTTAGCAATACATCTGAAATACAGCACTTGTTTGTTTACCTGTCTAACGTGGAGTTTTCATGCAAGCGAAGCTTGTCGATCACCGGTTGAATTCCCAGCATCAGAAACTCGTACCGAAGATGAATACGGAATTCTAAGCTTGTCTTTTTTGAGAAGACGGAAAAGATGTTAAAGTAAAAAATCAAGTCAAAAAAACCGAGGACCACAAATTGTAAAAGTCACTCACCTCTCCTGCCCCTTGACTCAGCACGGCGTTAATAAAAGACATGATGGCTGTTTTCAGGTTGACCTCGTCCCTGTATCGGCCCGTACTCCGGTCCAGTTCATTTATAAGCGACTGGGAAAGAACAGACCACACAGCTGTAAATATACATCCTGGAACATATTCTGTAAAACAGCTACTCAATGGGCACCGTAGTCAGGGCTGAGCATGAGGGAATACTGATCACCCACAAACAAATAAACATGACAAACTTATGTTTGGTGCCATTTGAAAACATAATAAATTCACTGGCCTACTTTGAAGAAGTAAATAGAATTTTGTTTTTAAGTATTTGTAATTAAATATTAAAGCTAGTGATGCCACTCGAGGGCAGCTTCACATAAAACCTTTTAAATCTGTTCAATAGACAGGAAATAACCTTCCTAAACTATCAACAAATATTTCATTATTTAAACTATTTCAATGATGGATTAGTTGTAATTAACCCTTTCGGCACATTGGAAATATTATGTCAAACTTTATAAGGACTACTGGAATCAATGACATAAATTCATAGAAGAAAAAAAAGGAAATCTTCTGGTTGCTGTATAGAAAGTGTGCTGGATTCAGCTCATGTACAACTCTGCTACTTGTTTGAGCCCTACTATAAAGCAAATCTATCCCTGCTTGACAGAGTAATAGTGATGTCAAGATTTATAAGGTTGATCAATACATTTGATTGTTGGGGTCACTTAAAGATGTTTAAAAATGTTTATTCTCTCTGGTCTTACACTAAGCACAAAGAGCCAATGATCGTAGAGGCTGGTTTAATTGTGACGCATATTCTTAGACTGCATAGTCTAATCTATGAATGAAACTAGGCTGATCCTTCTGGACATATGGACATGACTGGGTCTTGTCTAAACATTTATGAGACACTCTGCCTTGTCCTCTGACCTGGAAGCGCGTCCTCTCACTGGCGAAGCGCTGGTAGTGCAGCATGGCCTGCAGGATCTTCTTGTGACCCCCCGGCACCAGACACACGGCCCCCATGATTTCCAACACAGCCACTTTGGTCTTGATGTTGTCGGTGGCGAGGCTCTGGGCGATGATGTTGATGCTCTCGCAGTGAGACAGGACGTGGGCGCGGCCCTGGGAGTTGTTCATCAGCGCCTTGATGCAGCCGATGAGCGACGTGTGGATCTGGGACTCGGTGGTCTCATAGTCCATGGTCTTCAGGAAGTTCAGGATACACGTGAGGCCGTCCAGGTCGATGAAGCGCGTCACAAACCTGTCCGGAGACAATGTCAAATATACTTCCATTTCAAACTATATAAAAATGCAAAGGACAAAGATCATAAAAACACACTTATTATCCCACAGGTCCCCAAACTTTATCCAACTAAGATCTATTTTTACATCAAGCAGTGATCCACCCAAGTTCTTCTTAAGTTCAAACGCTGGGCTAACAAACATTTAAATATCCTCAAAATATCCATGTATTAAAATCCATATAACTACTGTTTTGCTCTCAAAAAAGTTTACTTCCATCACTAGTTTTCACATGCAGGTATTTTTTGGCCTCTGTCACATCTTTAGATCAACAAAACAAGTTAAACGAACATGTAATATATATGAAAAAACCATAAAGTAGGTCCCCAAGCTTTAAGTATGTGTGTTATGATCCCAAAATATATTCATAGATCCCCCATGCAAAAAGTGATGAAAATGTTGATTCCCACTTTGCTCTAAACTCTTGCATACATTGTCATACGAAGAACAGTTTCACAATCTTGACTTTTTCCAACACCAGGATTAATGTAGGCTGTTGTTGTTTGCAAATCTGAGGCGACCTTTGACGATTGTTTAAAGGGCACAGTGGTGTTAGTGGCAGGTTAGTGAAGCGCACCTCATGGGCTGCGTCCTCAGAGCTGTTTTTAAACTCTCTATTGTTTTGTTCCTCTCCTCCTCGTCCTCCTTCTCCAGAGCCAAAAGAGTCTTTCTCTGTTGAAGGGAAGAAAATGCATTAACATTGGAACATCCGTCTTCTATGACATTTGATTTATAGCTTAATGGGTGTGATTTAAGACATTACGGGTGTGGCTGTGCGTGCGTGAAGCGAAGCACAATAAACATTGAATAACCGAGGATTCGTTTATTGTGAATTCCAGACGAAACATGCGCCTTTGATTAAGTCCAACTTTACTTTAGGAATTGTGTGAACGCTCTTTTATTACTCACAGCTGCCATTGAGTTGAGCTGATCGATGTAGTACTCTGGCCAACTGGTCGCACTTTTGTTTTCTTCTTGTTCCTGAAAAAAGAAAAGCAAGAGAACGTTAAAGAGAGTGCTTTTTGGGGAATAGAGAAACACAATGACATCAGAAGGAATTGTGTTGGTTTGTGGGTTTTTTGTACGAGCAGAAAGTCTCAGAAGTTCCGGGAGTCTTTGTGTGAGCTGAAGTTGAAGACTGTTTTTGTACATTTACCCCCAATTTATGGCCATTTTGAGGAAACGGGTCTGGTGAGTTGCTGCTTGGCTGGAATGAAAACCTGCAGCCAGACGGACACCCATGTATCGTGGTTTATCATCGCGGAGAAGACAGGAAAATGTGTAGAATTTCCCTCTTCAAACTTTGTCTAACTGATAATTTTGTTTCCTGTTTATTGTCATTTTTAAGTGGGAAATGTGGTTTTAAATAAAAAAATAAAAAGCAAAGAATGAGCACTTCTGAACCCTTTGCACATCTTCTGCTTGGTATGAATTAGGGTACTTGACGGCAAAATAACACACTTTGCTTGAATTATGCATTCGATTTCTGTCCTAGAGTACAAACGTTAAATAGATTGAGCTGTAGAATGTGCTGCAACGTGAATGTGACTATGAATGTTGAAATAAAAAGTAGTTTTTCTCTATACAGAAGAGGAGCCTGGACTCAAAGTAGGGCGACACACTTTATCCTACAGCCCTCCACTTCCAGGATGAACCACAGCTGCTTGGGAAATCTCAAGATTAGCAAACTTTGGATTAGGGGCAAGGAAGCGGTCTGGTTGAGATCATTTCCAAAACATATAGATGAAAAAGATAATAATGTTTTAATCCATTAACATTCACTCCTTGAAGAAAGCAATGTATTCTTTTTCTTTTTTGGATTTTCTAAGATGTAGGAGCTCTAATAACACAAATGCCTGTTTTTCAGTGTATTCTTTTTTTTAATTATAGGCCTTTACTAAATGGTTGAGATGCAGTTAATGGTAAAAGTGCCTAAAACCAAGTGAGATGCCCCAAATATGTATATTTTAGTTCCAAGCATTGACATAGATATTGATTCAAAAGGTGATTTACCATATGGGTGAGGAATTAAAGGGTTAAAATGACAAACAACTATAATTATCAGATGTACAGTCCCTCCATAAATAGATCGCAGTCTGACCTTGTCTTTCTGGGGCTCAATAGAACCTTTGTTTGACTTGCCGCTCCATTAGGCACAAGTGAGCTGAGACTATCACGAGCTAATTGGGCTCGTGAGGAGAGTCGGCCTGGGACAGTGTGCACATGACCCCGCTGTTAGAGTTACGACCGGGGCAGAGCAGTCAGGCGGCCCCTTGGAACCAGTTCAGTCTTTTATTGGGACCCTGGCCACGGTGGGACCACTTCCTCCTGCATCTTAAGCAGGTCGTCTGTCAGCAAACTTCAAACGCTGCTCGTTCACTTAGGGGAAAGATGAGAGGAAATGTGGGGACCATATTTTCAGGAATTATTTGAGAAAGATCAGATCAAAGATGCTTCAGGAAATGAAATGGCAATTTTAGATCACTACGACGACTAATATGACAGGCCATTTTACTTTTGTGGAAATATGAAAACGAAAGGACTGTCTGTCTCTTGTTGTTTGTTAAGATTCATTGGCTTAGATTGAACAAGTATTTCATGTAAGAGAAAAGGATTTATATGGGAAACTAAAAATATAAGCAATAGAGCAGAAGCTTTGAATATATGGCATACACAGCTCCTGATTCACAAGTTTACTTAATCAATGTCAGTTACTTTTAAAATTGTGAAGACAAGCCCTGGATATGCTCTCCCCAATAGCTTCCTGGTTGGACAAAATTAATTCAAATCCTTGGTGCCCCTCATCTTTGGTTTAACTGTTCTCCTCCAGCAAATCCTCATGGTCAAAGTCATGCCAAGGGGAAATAAAATAAAATTATGGTATACATTTTTTTTTTGTAAGTAAGTAATCATTATTTATAGAGCGCCTTTCACAGACCAGAATCATAAAGCTCTTAACAACAGGATTGGGCATTTGTCTCTCACTCCACACATGGGAGCCCTATTGTACATGTTTTTAGTGGTAGGGGAAACCGGGGCACCCAGAGGAAACCTTCCCAGACAAGGAGAGAACATGCAAACTCCACACAGAAATGCCTGGAAGTGGAATTGAACACAGGACCTGCTGTGAACCTCAAACGCTAACCACTGCGCCATGGTCTGTGTTGTAAAATGCTGTCTGTATATAATAGTACAGTGTCTCATGGTCAGAAATACACATTCTTTTGTGAAATGCAACAATTTAAGATGCTGACATCCGGTTTAGCATTTCATTTAGAGTCATGGTCTTATGATCGCAGGGCCGGATACAGAATACATAACAATGAATTAGCAGGTTGCATGTCTTTAGTCGATTGCTGTGCAACCAAACCCTTTTCATGTACCAACTTGGCACCTGATGGAAAATATTAAACAGGACTAAACCAGCCTTGCAGAGTTTAATCCCCTGAGGTGCAAGGCCAAAACAAACCACAGCTCTGCAGGACTTATCTTAAGACTGTTTGCAAAAGAAAGCGGCGGTGTCATGGCTAGCGGCTTGCACATCCCATAATGAACCCACAGCAGCCTGCTTATCTCCTCTCTGCTCCCTGTGATGCACCTGTGGAACCAGAGCCTTCCTGTTTGATTTGGAAGCAGAGCGCGTTTCCTTTGGGGCTCCTCCTCTGAGAGCTCTGGAGGTGGGTAACATCATCTGGGCCAAAGCCAGAGCCGCTGCATCAGCATTATCCAGGCTCTCTGTCTTTGTGTACGACAGAACAGCCAACGTTGGGATACAGCTTCCTCCATTACCTTTTAAAAAGCAGTGTGCACTTGTATTCCAAGATACTGTACATATTTAAGTTCTTTGCAAACAAAAAGGGGGAAAAAGGGTCTATTGTGTGTATGTACATATATATTTTTTTATTTCCTGTTACATAGAATAGGCCAGTGTCTCCCAAAGTGGGGTCCGCGGACCCCTGGTGGGCCGCGAGGGTACTGCAGGGGCCGCGGGAGGTCATAAAAAAAATAAAAAAATAATATAATTATTTAATGTTAAATTTATAATGTTTTGTTTGTGATATTAAAATATTTGTGTTCATTATTTGACTTGAATAATCCACTGTAATCATTTTTGTATTACAATGTTTGTAGCAGAGGCTATTTCCCCAAAATAAAATAACCAGAAGAGCCTATTCTTAATGTTGTCTTCTTGGTTATTATTTTGGGGGGCCACACAGACCCGTCAGATTTTTAAGGGGGCCTCGGTGTTACTGAGTTTGGGAATGGCTGGAATAGGCAATACAAAATATTCTGATTCTGACAGAAGCGAGCCAGTCTGTCCCATGGGCCTCATCCGTGCCATCATTCACTCACACACCAGACTTATACTCGGCGATGTGGGTGAAGTGTCTTGCCAAAGGACACAACAACAGTTTGGCTCTTGTGTTCCAAGAGGTCTCCCATCACAGTACTAACCAGGCCATAATCAATTAACTGTCCAGATGTGTTGCACAACTGAGGTCTGACATCTGACTGTACAAATCTTGTGAGAAAATATAGAAACAAGCATTTATATATTTTTATATTTGAACATTTTCTTGTTGCACTAAAGGTTAAAAAGTTTTTTTTTTTTTTTTATGTGTGGGAATTGTGTGTTCTGTAATCACTAAGTATGTATTTTGCAGACGTAAATCTCTTGGAGTTGTTATTTTTACTGAATAAAATGAGACTTTTTAAAACCTACAGAAATCAGAAATCTCCCTGTAATATTGGACACAAATATCTCACAGCCCAAACCTACATAAAACCTGAACAAAAACAGCTATAAATCTATTTTATTCATGGCCTTGAGAGAGGTCTTCAAATGAGGCCACACAATCTGGGACACTCTCATGGACTGTGCGGCTGCTGAGTTTTTGTTCAAAATACAGCAACATCCAAGGTACAGTTTACAATAGTTCAGCAGGTTTGTAGCGACGCCAGTATAAGCCCCATCTGCAGTGGACATCTGTTGGACCGGGACATCCACAATAGTAACACAAAGCCTGGAAAATGTCTGCTGTTGAAACGCTGCTTCGGTTCAAACTCAAGCGGGCGTCTGTTTTCACACAGAAACAGAGGGGCAGCTGACGGCCCTTTTATCGTTGCCAGAAATCTAATGAAATATGACACTACCACAAAGCTGCGAAATATATTATGGCTACAGGAGGCTTTCATGGGACAGGTGCATTACTCCAGACATGTTAGAAATACTTTGGTTCTGCTTTAAGACAACGGAGAGGATAAAATAACACTATCATAATTCACCATGTCACAAGAAGAGGATGATAGGGAGGTATTTGAGATGCTTGAAAATTGGGTGTAATTACAATGTAGCACAGTTCAAATATCTAGTTAAAACTGGGGTACTTAACCTATTTTGTTTCATAAATAATACATTTTGTTTGTCCAACAGAAAGAGTCTTTCAAAAGTAAAATGTAGGGAACCAATGTTACAATGACGTATTGTCTTGTTCATATTAGAAAATATTTAATCTTCTGCATACTTGTTAGAAACAGCCCTGTGAGTTCCTGCTTGATTATATGGGCTGAAGACTGTCCGAGTGAAGGGTGGTCTTTTACTTTTTAAGTTTACTTTTACTTTTCTGTCTGAAAAAGCTGATTTAAAAGATGTGGCCGGGGCAACTACAGAACATGCTGGACTATTAAGTGCACATAGAAAACAAATGTGTCCACATTTGTAAATAATACAATAAACTCTTACCATAACTGTTAGCTTGCATGTCAGAACTCATTTACTAATCTATTTTGACATTTAATGTGTGTTATATAGCTACTAAAACAAGATGAGAAGAAGATCAAACCAAAATAAAAACTCCATAAACTCTGTTCTGATAACAGCCGTAAAGTCCCTTGCATTTTGTACATTTCCTCGCGCTTGTCTGTCTGCTGTTCACATAAACATAAAACTAAATATATTGGCTGCATCAATATACAAGCCGCAGACTTTGAGGAACTTGAAAAAGTAGCAATTGCTGGACAAGGACTAGCTCATGGTCCAGCATTTGCAGCAGTTCTACGGAGGATTAAAATACATAGCTTATTTTTTTGTGGTTTCAAAAGTTAGGTACCCAAGATTTAAGCCAATGAATTTGACATTGTTTTCTTGTTTTAAAATGTTTTCTTGGAGCGGAGCTTGCATTCCTCTGCCTCCAGGTCTTCATTAAAAGTCTGTTAAGAGTCCTCTCGCAGTAATGTGGAAAATGGGGGGGATTGAAGAGCTGCATGTTTGAGAGCGAATGATGCCTCCTCGTCTGTAGTTTGCGGAGGACGCTGCTTGTGTCAGCATGTTTCACACAGTACAGTGTCTAGAGCCCCATTTAGGCCCGTGTAATCTTTGTTAACACGTAATCAGGTTTACTGCTTTTACATGCGTGTATGTGTCCTCATAAAAGTTAGATAATGTCTCTTCAGAGGATTTATAAACATCTGTTCAGCGAAAATGCCAAAGCCCGTAATACCAGTTCAGACAAATCCACCTAAGTCAGGTCTAAGCATTGTAATTTTAATACCATTTCCCATATTTGCATTACAAATACTTACAAAGAGCTTCCCTTTCATCTAATGCCAAAAGATATAACAGATTTTCACTGCTTTACATGGTTTTTCACAGTGATTCTTCATTTTCCACCTCCGTCTGACGTCAAAAGACAGACCAAAATAATCATGCGCATTCCCGGAATATCCAGGAAAGCTGCTCGAGTCGGGGCGAGTTGTGAGCGGAGAGGTGATGACGCAGTTATAGGGCCTCAGCGCAGAAGATAACAGCCAATCAATGATAAACGGATCAGGCAGAATGCGCTGGTTATTGTTGGAGTTGGAGTTTGAGATGCTGAGATTGAGACTCGTACCTTCTTTTTGCTACAGTAGATCTGCCATTTCTTCTCTGCTGGGAGCGCGAACATGGCCTCTCTGTGCTTCTCTGACAGGTCGAGCTCGTCCTAGAAAACAACAGATTGTGTTAAAATACGAACAGCACACATCTCCTTCACATTAGTAGAAAAACTGTAAAAGAGAGTTTATTTAAAGGGTCATTCAGGGTTTCTCCATAGGTTTTAGACATTTGACAACTATTATCTCGTTGTATAAATGTTGCTTAGTGTTGGCTCTTTAGGTGTCAAAAGCCCAGTTTCCACCGGCCCTACTCTATAGTCTCTACCTGGTTGCGGTTCCATTACGCTATATGGTACCGTATCCTACCAGCCTACCCACAACAAACCAGTATCCGTGGAAATTCCTTTGGTAACCATGGCTTCCAGCAGTACTCTGGCCACTCATAGACAGTTAGAACACTTAAATACCAGCTCGGCTTGGATAGAATCAGGGCTAAACAGGTGCTAAAATCCAGGACACTTTCTATAGTAGTTCTCTATCTCCTGCTCCACCTTTTTCATGTTGCACATGAAATTTCTGAAAAGGATCTTTAAGCCATCCACGATGCCTAATTAGTAACTATGCTATCGTCCTGGTTGTTTTCATACAATGGTGGAGACGCCATAGTGATTGCTATTAACAGGAAACAATAGCAGTTCATTAGTGGATTTTTTCTTGTAATGGGAATCGGGTTTGTCAGAATACAACGGTGGCCTGGTAATTGCCCGCATTCTTTGGGCACATCTCCGGTAATTTTTCATTAGTTAAATCCAGGTGGTGACTTTTTTGGAAACTTACGCATTCCTCTGGGCTGCCTCTGCTCTGTTACAAGACTTTATATGGGCCAAAGATTGAAGAAGGGCACATGAGCAGCTCCTCTCATTGAAACTCACTCTGATGTCTTTTGGCTGATCTAATCATGTAATGGCCCAAAGAAGAGGGAGTGGCCTATTTTCTCCACATGAGGTAACAACAAACATCTGGAACAAACATGCGTCACGACACAAAACAGACACAGACAGAAGAAGCAGCTGTAGCAGAGTGGCCAAGAAAATTAAGCAAAGGTTGATGACTATTCCGATTCAGATTGTTGCGTTTGCTGTAAGAGCTCCATACCTCAAACAATTAATACAGAGGTGTCAAACTAATTTTGGTCAGGGGCCCATCCATCCATCCATCCATCCATGTTTGTGGATTTTTTCATTATGAAGTAATTTTGACCATACTTTTATTTAACATGAGTTTCACTATTATTTTCTGGTTTGATTTTTCTGAAATCAAAACGTATTTAGATTTAACTAAAACTGGACTGGATTATAAAGTTAAACACGTTGTTTCTAACAATTTTACTTCAGATGATGTGTTGGGTTGAATTTCAACATGAAGTAACATGCTTTTGATAGCCCATAACCATCAATAATGTAAGTTAATAATAGTAATTTAAAAATCATTTTAGGGCCCACCAAAAAAATGTCTTGCAGGCCGGATTTGGCCCACGGGCCTGAGTTTGACATGCTTGAATTAATGCATCTTGATAAAAGCCGGAAAAGGTAAACTCACAAAAAAGCAGAATTGTAATAAATGGTGGAATATTGGACACTATGAATTTGGGAAGATTCCACAGAGCGATATTTACCACCCGTGCACAAATTCCTGGTATTGCACAGCTCTAATGTAAAAAACATCTTCTCCCGAAGACTTTTAAAGGTGCAAAGGTCAATTTTAACAGGTTGTAAGCAAGCAGATGTCCGCAACTTATTCCACCACGTCTTGTTTCCATTTTACACGGACAACATTGTTTCCACTATGCAAAAGTAAAAGCACGTGGCTATTTTCTCCTGATAAACAGAGCAGCTGAATGCCCTCTTGTCGTTACACTCAACCTACTCAATTATGTCTTCATGAAGCGCAGGAGACAAAAACAAGCAATTAGCAGATTGTTCGGGTCAAGACACGAGGCATTGTTCAGTGTGCTCTATTGATGTGAAAAAATGTCATGCTTAGATTACTGTGGAGCCACAGGAGAAAGGGGACAGAGGAGAGGGGGCCAGCAGCAGAAGAGAGCGGAGCAAATCACAAGTGACAGTGCCTTTTCCTGCAGGAGCTGCTCACTGCGGAAAGGTCTATTCAGAGTGGGCGGGGCTGTTACAGTAAACTGCCACCAGGACATGTTTGTGTTTGAGCAGCTGTTTACTGTTGTTCAGTGATTATGTGTGATAGAGAAGCTCAACAAAGCTTAATGATTTAACTTCAAACCAGAGTGCTCCATTTATTGGCCATCGGTAAAAACAAAACCTTATTGAACAGTATTTTCCTTCAGATGAATGCACAACTTACCACGAGCTCGGAGAACATGCCATCCAGTTCGTCATATCCAGGCATGGGCAAAGCGGGCTCCATGGTCTGCAGAGCGAAGTCCTCCCTCAGCCTGTAGGTGATCTCTGGATGGTCACTGCTGCTGTTGAAGCAGCAGAAGATGAAGGAGAGGCCTCCGCGGCTCCCACCGCCTCCTCTTTTGCGGGGGGCCATGGTTCAGGCGAGTGGCCTGCTCCGCTCTGCTCCGGGCCTATGTGCCTCGTCAGGGAGATCTGTGGGAGAGACAGTCTGTCAACATCATGGCTGTCAAAGTCAAGGCCCGGGGACCAGATCCGGCCCGCAAATGAATTATCTTGGCCCCGGGATGATATTTTATTAGTATTAGAACCGGCCCGGACAGAGCCATAAGAAAATATTGTCCAGGACGTATGTTTTCTCTTTGAAGGAAGTTTGTTTTTGTCTGTGAGCCTGTTGAAACATGTACAAACAGAGCCATACAAAAATATTGGATTATTTATTCAATCATTAAATAAAATACGGAACACTGTTAGATCGTGGTTTAATATGTTATGTGCAATAAACATAAATTTGCAAATTTGTTTTTTGGCCCTCTGACATACTTGACTTAGACATCCCTGGTAAACAATAAACAACCAACACGGCTTTAGTATTCCAGGCTCACAATAAACCTTTGGCCTAGAAATGTGTAATACTAATGACAGAGTCATAATATTTGAAGGCAAAGTACAATAGGCTCCATTAATGCGGGGGAAATCTTAAAGATCTAATCATGTTCTTGAATCAATAGGGCTCAGTGAGTGCAGAAATGGAAACCATAATTTTCAAGATTGGTGAATTAGGCCTCATTCATGCGCTCTTCCTCTTCACATCAGGCTGTTCTGACGAGGGATAGTGAGGGGGTGTTTAGTGATTACCATAAAAAGTCAGAGTGGAGATCCACATATCAGCAATGTCCTGAACTCAACTATGGGCCCAATTTCAGTTTATACAAAACTGTATCACAATCAGGTATGTCACAAATGTAAACAATGCTACCAGCAACTCCACATGATATAAATACATTCACACTTCAGCTGCCACATGTCCAGCATCGCACAGCTCTGTCCTATGCTGCCCAAACACAATTCAGTTTAGTCTTACAAAACATTGATTTTTCTCTATAATGAATGAATACAGTTTCCACTGGCATTATAATCAAACAATCATCAATAGAAGTACATTTATTTAGCTTCTGTTGTCCTCAGCTCCTCTTGTGTTGACACATAAAAGCAGAGTTCAAAGAAGGCAGATGTACTCTATGTTGAAGACCAGCGACTGCCCACATCAAACCACTGCAGTGACGACCTTTCCCAGACTTCCTCAGAGTCTGAGGTTTTGGTCGGACGCACAGCTAAAACACTAAATTTAACCATCACTGATGTTTCATTGTGCACCATTTAGCTTCAGTCGACCAAAGACACAACACGAGCACCGCTCACAGAGACACGGAGGCCGCTTTTGGTGGGAAATCATAACACAGACATAAACCGTCACTATCTTGATTTAGATTTGGTTTTCCTGTCTGGAGGAAAACGTTTGTCTTAACACCAAAATATTCTATTACTGTTTGCATGTCTCTGGTTGTTTCTAAGACAACAAAACACATCTCAATTCTCGTCAGACAAACCTTAATCTTTCCTCTTTAAAATTAAGCAACAAAACAGCTTAAACAAGTTGAAAGCAGTTTGTTTTGAATAAATCTGATGAAAACCACTTTTGTTGCAAGCGTCCATCGCACACATACTGTATCTACTAAAGCTAATGTCTTTTGTGCAGACAACAAGCCCATTGTTAAACACATCCAAAGGAGCAGATTTATTACAGCCGGACCATGCATTTATCAAGCGCAGTGAAAGTGAGCAGCAGTGATCCATGTCCTCCACACGACGCCCGAGGTCAAGCAGGCGCACATGGGACACACAGCCCCCGCTCTCCATAACATGGTTTGCGGTGTATTTATTTTGACACATCCTCGACTTTTTCAAACAGACTACCAGGCATCTGCTGCAGCTGTGCGGCTACACACACACACGCACACACACACTCACATACACACTCACACACACACACACACACATACACGTTTTTGTTACCTGGTGGGTCCCTTTGACAGGGCCGTTCAGAATGGGACCCATAGACATAATCTTTTTTTACTGGGACTACTTTAAGTAATACAAAACAGTCAATAGAAACCAAACAACTATTTTAAAGGAATTTTATTTTAGATTTTGTTTTCGAATTGCAGTGATTCTATTTTTGACATAGAATTTAATGCCACTCCATGTCCGATGTCTAAGGTCATCTGGTGAGGCATTAATGCAGGCCAGGCAGTGAGACTTCCCAGGGACCTTTCCAGTCTGTATGAAAGGTGTCATGGTCTTCTCCACAGCCTTCACCTCAGATGCAGACCATGGCTTTCTTACACGTTCTAGGGAGAGAAATAAAAATATATTAGCAATATACACTCCCAGGGTTAGGACCAAGCAGCCTGGCTGTAATCCCCCACCTGGTACACTTACCAGAAGGGGCACTGCCACTACCATGGGGTGCATCTGGATGAATGGTTGAAGGTTCTCCGCTTGAAGTTTCTTTTAGCCCGTCCGTTTGTGAGAGGATCTCTACTGCTCTCCCTGTCGCACAGAAAATAAAAATACAAGTGGCCTTTAGGGGAAAAAAATCATACATATTTTAATAATATCAAGAATTACCTTCAGGCTCAATTTGTATCTGGTCGAGGCTCTTTCCTTCGAATTCCGTCACTCTTCCCTGCTCCATGGCCATCAACACTTTGCTGATTTTGGCCAGCTCCAGTGTCCCCTCTGGTAGTCTGTAATATTGCCTGTGGATGCGAATGTCATGGCCGAGGAAGTTGGCAAGTATGTCCATCTCATTCTCTTTCATATTGAGAACTGTAGACATAGTAGCAATGTGCTTTCTAAGTTTGGTTGAGGATAGCATCTCTGGATGCACCGCACCACATTCTTTGGCTACCTGGCGTAGGGAGTCTGATCCCCTGATGTGGGTGTCTGCGCCCGGGCGGGAAAAGAAGTATGGGTTATGGTCAGAGATGGAACAGGCCCTTCTGTTCTCCACCAGCACCTCCATCGAAGCAATCATTTCAGGAGTCAAAAGAACCGGCACTTTCCGACTTCTTTTCCCTTTAATTTCAATGCGTTGAAAATGCTGACACAGCTTTTTCTCAAGTTGGGACAGTCCCAGAGCAATGTCAGAATGGATCCCAGTCTTACTTCTTAAGGTAAAGGCTGTCAGTGGCATCTTTGAAACCTCACCTTCCCTTCTTCGATTGAAAATGATGACCTCACAAAGAGTCAAAACTGCCAGTTTAGACCAATGCTTAGACGTTGGCTCACTTATTAGGGTTTGCACATATTCAGGTCGACATACCTCAATATGTGCATGCATGGCTCTAACGTCCTCAGTCAGAGGGAGCAGGTCCGGAGTGTTCCACTTGGCTTGCCGGAGGGTCTGTAGGGCAGCAGAAGAAACACAGACGTCCCACCTCTTCTCAAAAAGCAGCCGGCTTCGTTGGAGGTTTTTAATAAATAGTTCATCAACACAATGCTCCATTTTTGAGTCACATTCAAGAATATCTGCTAGCTTTCTGAGGCTATGGCCGAGTTTGAGGGCCAAGGATGGAGTCTTGTATTGATTTGTTTCCTCATCATATCCAGCCACAGACCTGACTGCATCAATCACATGGTTAAAGTTGGAAGGAATAAAGAAATCCTTAATTGTTTTCAGTTTCCCTGCGGTTTTTGCTTCGTTAATTAACCTACCGACTTCTCTCATTTTCTGCCTAATGTAATCATGCTTAGTCTTATCATGCCCGTGTTTTAAGTACAGGTGCTCTCCGAGTCTCAGAATCCCCTTTTCTGCTTTGACAACACCCGTGACCTCATCCTGATGCATTGCCGAAATTAAAGACCACAGCTTTTTGCTGATGCCCTCCGGTACAGGCTGGGCTAGGGAGCAGAGGGACTGGACCCTACTTCTACCTGGTTTAGCCTGGGCATCTTTCTGTGAAAGCCGGCACCTGGCCACATGCCTCCACAGCGACTTTCGCTTAAGCAATGCCCCACAGTCTATACAGTGCAAAAACTCACTGGATTTAACTGGGGAATTTGGCTGTTTAGCTGGGACTAAAGTTCCAATGCCGGCCTTTAAAACCTCAAAATTGTGCTCACGGTTTCCACTATTCCTGATCAAATCAAACTGAAGTTTACGTGCTTTAGATTTCACAGGTAGAGCCAATGCTCTGGCTACGTCACTTTCATTTCCATGTTTTCTAGTCAAATGACGGGACATTTTGTGGCAGGACATTGAACAGTAGAGGCAGAAGTGTCTCTTGCTGTAAACTCGCCCCCCATTTTTCTTCTTTTGCAGCTGCATGATAACAATCTTATTTGCCTTTGGTTCGTCACTTTCCGAGTCTTGAAGAAAAGTGTTTTTGATTTTTCTTTTTCCATACTTTTTTACAGGTTTCTTCTTGACAGTTAAATCGTCAGAATCTGAGTCGACTTCATCAATTAGGGACTCTTGACTAAGCTGCACAAACAACAAATAATTTGTAATCATTCTATATAACAATTTGAAGTCATGACTTGTAGTCAGCACTTACCAGTGGTTTGTAAGCGTGCGCTTCAGTGTGCTCCTCCATGATTTCTTGCAGCCTAATGAACCACACACTTGCACCTTTTTCTAGCCTGACACCTGATTTCCTCTGTTGTGCTGCTCCATGATTGGCTCCAGCCTGCTGGACTGAAATTGCCCCAGTGTGCCCCTCCTTGATATCCCGCAACCCACCACCAGGGTTCCGACACATAACACACTTTTTTCAGGAAAGTAAACCTCCAGGGGTCCTTTCCATATTTTTACAGAGACTGCATAAGGACCGTTAGAAAAGCATTACCCATTGATTATTAAGCTTGGACCAGTGGGGTCCGGTGTTCGGGCCCCACCACGTAAAACCAGTCCCCATGACGTGAGTGGAATCTCAGGTTATGGAACCCACCAGGAGTTGAAAACAAGTGCACTCACACACACACTCACACACTCACACACACACTCACACACACACTCACACACACACTCACACACACACTCACACACACACACACACACACACTCACACA